AATTATTTAATATTCTAATGAACGAATAAAACATAAAAATTTCAAAAACTCTGTATTACACCCAGCTCTCTGTCAGCAAATACATTTAAGTATTAATCTTTCCCTTACCACAGGTGTACAGATCATTTTCTCACTAAGCAGGAATCTTTGAGCCTGCAAGTTGTCTTACAATAATGCAAAAGAATACAACACCAACAATAAAAATCATTATAATTAATCACAGTGGGTTTGTAAGGCATTATTCTTTGTAAAGCAGAATGATTTGCATTGTATAGAAGTGAAAAAATGTATGCTGTATTTTTTTAAAGTTGCATTTAGATTTGATATAATTAATTAATAATCACATAAATGATATATCTTTATGAATGCTATTTACTCAAAGGAGTTATTGTAATATAATGTCTATAGTCATTCAAAAACATCTCAACTTCCGTGAGTATCTGATTAATCAGTGTTTGACGCTGATGTCTGCACACTTTTCTTCTGTTGAAGACTTCTGGATCTGATGTCATAAATCAGCACAGAAACAGTAGCCACGCCCACTAGAGCAGAGAGAGCCAATCGGAGCACAGCTTCAGTAGAACCGCAACAGCAGACACAGTGTTCTGAGAGAAGAATGAGCCACTTAAAAAATTAAATATGATTCATTTAGTTTGTGGGAGAATATAGTGCCACTGACATACCTGCACATGTGTGACAGAGTTGACTGATGTCCAGGTGTTGAGTCTGGTTGCTGATGGGATTGTTGAGCACACAGCTGTAGGTGTTTTTCTCCTGATATTCCACCTCCAGAGGTAGAGAGAGACTGATGCTGAGATCAGACACACTGATGCTGGACAATAAACTGTTTCCTTTGTACCAGGAGAGAGTCACACGACCCACATTCACCACTGAACACAACAGTGAACAATTCTGCTGTGATGATGATGAAGGACAGTCTCTACTGATGAGAGGAACAGACAGACGAGCTGGAAAATATTGGAGGATAAATCAAATTCAGTATGTAAAAGAGCTGTGATATTTGTTAGTTCATTGATTGATAAGAAACCAGTGTTACAAAATTTTTATTAAAAGGCTACTGTAAACACTCAAAAAGATTTACACTAGATTATAAAAGCATTCTTCACACTGAGAAAAAAAAGTGGTGCAACAACCAGCAAAGACGGAATCCAGCAGTGTAAATGTAAGTATTCTGCATGTATGTCTTTTATGGTGCCTCTTGAAAAAAAAAAAGCTTAAATTATGGTTTCCAGTTTAAATTCTGACTCCATAAAAATTGTAAACTGACTAAAATTTTTATGCGCTTTTTCAAATTTGACAATATTATTGATTAATAACAGATCATAAGTTTAGTTGTGATTATTCTGGAGATCTCTTAATTTCAATTATTCATTTATTAGTAGCTAGTGTTACACAGAGTCTCATGTTGGCGACCGTGGAACTCATGGTCACAAACTCACCAGTTCTGAGTTTAGTCAGAGGGTGCAGTGAAACTAATACCTCAGCTGCCACATGCTCGCTCATACAAACAGTGTAGTTTCCTTAGTCACATTGTTGCAACTTACTAAATCATTGACAGATAAAATCAAAAGGCCCCACATGATGTGCTACCTGCTCCATTCATTAAGTCCTCAGTTTTCCCTACCCTGGATGCAGATTTCACTTTATCTACTTCATTATCTACTTTATTTCAGAAAAATCCAGAATAAATCCAAATTAACATTTATTTTTGCCGGGCAAAATTACACAGCAAAAAAAAAAAATGCTTTTCTTACTTAGATTTTTTGTCTTGTTTTCAGCCAAAATATCTAAAAATTCTTAAATCAAGAAGGATCTTCTAGACAAGTAAAAATTATTGTTTTCGTTTTCAGAGTTTTTGCTTAGAGCAAGCAAAATAAGATGCCAATGGGGTAAGCAAAATAATCTTATTTCAAAGAGAAAACAAAGACAATAATTTTTTTTCTGAAAACAAGACAATAATTTTTACTTGTCTTGAAGATCCTTCTTGATTTAAGAATTTTTAGATATTTGGGCTGAAAACAAGACAAAAAATCAAAGTAAGAAAAGCATTTTTGCAGTGTAAACATGTCAATGGACGGTAAAATTAGAAAGCATGCATAGAATTTTTACACAACTGATCACCATAAAACACAAACACAATTAAGAATAATATTTCTCAAAATAATTCAGAGTCAGAATACCTGGCAATAGAGAGACACACTGAATTGTGTGGAAAGTTCTTCTTACAGATACTTCCCTGGCAATTTAGCTAATTCTCTTTAAATACCCAAATCATAAAAATAAATAAATTAATAAATAAATAAAGATTCAAGACTGTGGCAACGTCTCCAAGATGCTTCAAGAAACCTTACCTGCAAAGCTACTCTACTGTTAAAAGTTTTAGGCACTTGTGTAAAAATGCTGTCAAATGAGGATGCTGTCAAAAAGAATTTTATAATTAGATTTTCCTTATCAATTAACACTCCAGACAGACTGATGATGATCAGATCAGATCAGATCTCTGTGTGGAGCACTGGCTGTTGTCAGACAAAAATCTCACTAGATTATTACAATTAATGGCAAAATGAATGTTTGGAAATGTAAACTGATATTTTCTCCTGACACACTACAGCAAAAGATAGAAATAACTGACTTAAAACCATTTTTAGCTGGTGGAAATACTAGTGTTCTAATTTTGGCCACCACTGTATAACAAGTCAAGTAATTCTCTACTCACCATAGACAGTAAGATTGAATGTGTTGAGCGGTGTCACTGTTCCAGTGCTGCTTATTTTATAAAGTCCAGAGTCTGTGGTTCTGGTGTTTGTGATGCTCAGAGATCCAGTCTGATCCAGCTTCAGTCTGTCTCGGAGTCTCTCAGCAGCACTGGTATTATAAATCATGCTCTTATTTTCCTTCATGTTGATTTTAACTACGAGAATGTCTCCAAACTTCCACTGGATCGGATCATATTGCAGTATTTCAGTAACATCAGTTCTTAGAGTGACAAGATCTCCCTCCATCACTGACTCTGGCACTAACTTCGCTGCATCAACACCAAACACACCTGATGAACAAACTGGAATATTTACTCAAAATTTTAAGATTTACCAGATTTGGAGGTTTGTCATTTTGAAACAATTCTTTTCATGCTGCACAGAAATATTTGAGGTTTTATTCTGATAAAATTAGGTGATTCTTACCAAGCAGACTCAATGAGAACAAACTGAAGAAAATAAATGTATCAAACATTTTCTTCAGCATTTCTCTAAACAGTTTCACAATGAAAATGTTATTACAATCAGGTCCTGACAACTCTTGAAAATGTTGATTGGGCTGTTGGTCTGTAATGAAGTGGTCTATTGAGACTGCAGTGAGTGTGAATAAATTCCTCCAGTTTCACCTCCCACACAGACAGACCATTTTTATTTCATTCATTAGTTTAAGAACTGTTAATACTTACTTATGTCCAACATATTAATAATTTTACTTTGTTTTTTTTTCTCAGAACAGAATTAGTCTGTTATTTAATTTCTCTAGTTTCTTTATATTGATAACGTTATCTATCTATCTATCTATCTATCTATCTATCTATCTATCTAATCCATAAAAACTCAATCTCCATCAAAATAAAAGCACTATGGTTTAACTTTTTAAAAGCAAATAAATATAAATAAATAAGATTGGTATTAACTTGGAATTAAGATACTGACTGGGGAACCCGTTCAGAGTGTTTTTCAGCGCTTTGTGTTATACCCTGGGGACTGACTGCCCGTCTGTATATCTTGATTCTGAAACACTCAGTTTAGTCCATGAATCTTTTAATTTAAGCTGGTTCTAGAGGTTCATATTTGTTTTAATAATGGAAAATGTTCATCGAACAATGACATTTTGAAGGGTGGAGCTACTGGAGGAGTTTATTCACTGCAGAGCTTCACTAAACCACTTTACTACAGACCAACTGCTTTATTCGCTTACAATCATTTCAAGAGTGTCGGGACCTGATTATAATAACAATCCTGTTGTGAAACTGTTTTGCAAACTGCTGAAGAAAATGTTTATTTTCATCTATTTGTGCTTGTGGAGTTTGCCTGGTGAGTATTTCCATTATGTTGATATTACAATTTCTCCACAAAACATAATTCTGTTAATTGTTATTCCATCATTAACTTTACCTCATATATTTTCCAGCTGCATCAGACTAATATACTCACAAATAATTTTTTTGTTGATACTGTTGTCCCTTTCAATAAGTACTGCAATTTACTCCAGAATGAATTGTTTTGCCATTACAATTTTTTAATAATTTCAAAAAGACTAAAACTGTCAGAAGATGTCTTATTGAGTAAATATTCCAGTTTGTTCATCAGGTGTGTTTGGTGTTGATGCAGCGAAGTTAGTG